TAAATTGCCCAGGGAGGCTTTGAGCTTTCCATCCTCCTGCCATAGCCTCTGAATAGCTGGGACTATAGGCATACACTGTCACAGCCAGCTGGATGACCTGGGAAGTTTCCTGGGTGTTCTTTTTTTTTTTCTTATAACTTTATTTATTTATTTTTATAAATAGTTTACAAACTTAAATTAATATAGCAATAAAAATTGTCCAAAATAGGGGGCTGGTGAGATGGCTCAGTGGTCTAAAGCACCTACTTAGAACAAGCTAAGCTAAGCAAAGCACAGGGACCCAGGTTCAATCCCCAGCACCACATGCCAGCCAGCCCCGCCCCCCTGGTGGGCTGAGCTGGCCACACACACACACACACACAATAAATAAATAAATAAATAAATAAATATTAAAAAGAAGCCCTGTTATTTAAAAAAAAATTGTCCAAAATAAAAATGAAGAATTTACAAGTCAGTCATATAATAGTTCACTCTATGTCAAAATCAATCCTGGGTGTTCTTGAGAGATGAAATTTTGACTCTGTTGATGAACATAATTTTGTAGGGTTTTCTGGGTCAAGTGAACATCATGACATTTTCAGAGGTCCCCTAAGGCCCAGTGGAAGTTGTTCTTGCCTTCTGGTACTAATAATGACAGTCAGGAAAAGAAAGCCCCAAGAGCCAGATGGGGTGGTGGGCAAGGAGACAGCAGCTTTCTGGTCATAGTTTGTAGCTCTGCCACAAGAGGCTCCTACTTGGTGTACCAGAGCATATTGGCAGTCCTGGAAGCAGCCCAGTAGCTCTTCCTATTTTATTTAAAGAGTTCAAGCAGAAGGCCATTGCTTGTACATTACAACAAATGCATGTAGAGTAGTGGGTGTGAGGGCTGAGCTTCCCAAGGACGCCTGCTTGCTGCATGCAGACATAACCCTGCATGGGCCTGTGGCAGTGCTGGGGCTACAGGATCCAGGACTCAGCCAGCTCGGATGTGCTTTCCCCTTTGTTTTCTCTTGCTAAATGGCATCCATTCAGGACAACCAACCACACAGGTTCCTTCCCTTAGGGTTGAGGGCCGGAGTGAGTGCCCTTCAGCCGTCACTGCCCTTTGTAAGCCCTCTCTGCAGCACTTATCTATTTCCTACTTCCAATAAGGGCACACAAGGCCCAGGGGTGTGTGTGTGTGTGTGTGTGTGTGTGTGTGTGTGTGTTACTGAAGACTGAGCTCAGGGCCTTTGCACCTAGGTATAATCCCCCTTTCCAAATTTTCTTTAGTTTTAAACTTTGAGATAGGGTCTAAGTTACCCAGGCTGGGCTCAAATTTGTGATTTCCTGCAAGGATTATGGGTGTGCACCACTCCATCTGTTTAATGTCCAGTCTTAAATTCTGTCCTGTTTGGTTCTCCTTGGGAATAGTTAGAGTATTGGTCCCACCACCAAGCATTCTATTGATGGAAGTGGGGTACCAACAAATTTTTGAAGAATGAATGAATGGAAGAGAAGCTGGCATTCCTACTCTTTGGGTGTGGAAGGTGTTTATTTTATTTCACTTTTTTAATTTTATTTTTCAGGGCCAGGGATTAAACACAGGGCCTTGGACGTGCTAGGCAAGCACTCTACCATTAAGCTATATCCCTAATCCTTAAGTTTTTTTAAAAAAACTCTTGAGATGATCTCACTAAATGGCTAAATTTTCTCAGGCTGGTTCAAATTTGTGCCCCAGAGTTCTGGATTTACAGGCATGTACTACCGTACTAGGCTGATTTTACTTCTTTTCAGAAGTGAAACTCAAGATAAGGTTCCAATCGCGATGAGGGTGTATCCCAAAGAAAGATGAAAAGGAGGAAATATAAATCTCTCCTTTTTAGACAAGTTCCTGGATTAGAGACTGGATATTCATACAGGAGATAATCCCAAACCAAAAATAAACCATTTTGATTGGTGCCTAGCATCCCCATCTCCCCAGATGAATCATAGAGTGACGGGTTCATCAATTTAGTTTGCCTGTGGCCCTTTTTATTAGCAGTCTCACTTTTTCCCAGTGGCAGTAACATCAGTGCACCTCTAACACAGAGGAAGCATTCACTGAAAGTAGAATCATTAAATGATTAAATTAAATAATTGCAGTGTGCTGTTGTTCAGAACTCATGCCATCAGTATGTCAATATGTGACAATCAACCATCGCAGAAAGCTACCCTAATTCCTGGAACTATCCTGTGGTGCCAGGCGAGAGGATCTCTGATTAGGAGTCCCCATCAGTTGGTGTTATGTCTGGGTCACTCTGAGGTCATGAGTTACATTGATGCCCTAGTGAGCAGAGTGTGACCCAGCTGAACTGAGACCACAGAAGGATCAGAAGGGCCCCTGGGAGCCAGATCCAGTTCTGGCCCTGATTTCCTTTGTGGCCTGAAGCCAAACAAGGAAATTCTGCAAGTTAGCTCTTCCCATTTAGCAAGAGAGAAGACACTTTGGTGAAAGCCTTTGGGATTGAATACGATGTGATGTGGAAAGAGAGGACACTAATAGTGTGTCTCAGTGTATGGGGTTGTGGAGCGCTTGCTTAGCAGGTGCAAAGCTATGTATTTGATACTCCACACTGCAAAAAATAACTGGGCAAATAAATACATAACAAAATCAATCCAGGGCAGGAGCTAGAGTTCAGTGGCACAGTGCCTGCCTGGCAAGTGCGAGGTCATGAACTCGATTTGGTCAGTCCATAGAGAATCTGTCATGCTGCTGTCCATATAGGCGTGAGAAGTTCAGTTCTGATTTATGAGTGAGATTCTGCAGACTCATCACCCTGCGGCCTTCCCTTCTCTGGCCTCTTTTGTTCCTGGCATAATCCTATCTGCCTTTTGGTTTGATCATTCTAGAGCACTTCAAGGATCAGTTTCAGCTCATGGATTATGTCTTGACAACCCCTATTACCCCTCAGGCAGATAATCTACTAATCTTTGCCTGAAAGATTCAGGTTAATTGAACTTGCAATGCCTCAGGAAACCTTATTTGCATGCTGACCCATCTTCATCTCTGCAGCGGTCTCCTGGCTCCTGACCAGCAGGGATCCCCCGTCCCCCGCAGCCAGGCCTCTCCAGAGCTAATTTTTCCCTGTACTCACAATTCCTCCTTTTATCTTTCCTTCATGCTGTTATTACTATATGCCATCCATATTTTAGGGCTCCCTTATAATTGTTTTCAAACATATCTGGGGGTTATTTTATTTTTATTTTTAATTTGTAAGTTTTTGGAGTTTTTTTGAGACATCTTGCTGTTTGGTCCAGGCTAGTACTGAACTTGCTTTTTAGCCCAGACTGGCCTCCAACTGGAGACCCTTTTGCTCTGGCCTCCACCTGCCAGGGTCACAGGCACGCACCACCATGCTCATCTTCATTCTATTTTTAAAAGAACACAAGAAAACCAGAATGCCTTCCCCTGAGCTCACCAGCTCTTCTCGTCTATTTACTGCCTTCCTTCTGCAGCAAGCGTTTCGGGTTCCTCTTGGTTTGGCAGTCTCATTTCCTTTTTCCAACACTGTTGAAATTGCATCCTCCAAGGTCAACAACGCTGCCCTTGGAGCACAGTCCAGCAGAGCTTTTAGTCTCATTCTTATTTTCTCAAAAGCATCAATTTCCTTTCCCTTACCAGGATCTACTTCTCTGGTTTATATTTGTCCACCTATTTCCTAATAGGATTTTCTGAACTAATCGACAGACAACATCCTGGCAGAGTCCAAGTTCTTGCAGTAGCAAGCTTGTGGGGGACTTTTAATTCTGCCACTAATCAACTGCATGATCTATGACAATGTAATCTTCCCTGCCTCAGTTTTCCTAATTTTAAGATGGGGGTGATAGGAAGGGCTCTTATCTTGACTTGGAATTAAATTGTACTGGGGTGGCCAGTGCAGTATTTACTGCAATATTCGGCATATGAAAGCATTCATTCATGTTATCTATTGGTATAACAGCAAGCCCCTGGCCACCTGGTGCCCACACCTCTTATTCCAACATCCTGGGAGCCTGAGGCAGGATGATCACAAGTCTAGCCTCAGCCTGAGCAATGTAACAAGACCTTGTCTCAAAATGTAAAAATAAAAACAGGGCTGGCGATGTAGCTTAGTGCAAAGGCCCTGGGTTCAACCCCCAGAGCCAAACCAAACCGAACTCCAAGCCAATGAACTCCTAGGTCTTTGAAACCTGCCTCCTCTCCACCCCTTTTAAGACATATTGCTCTCATTGAACCCAGCCCAGGGCCAGACAGTAATTAATCACTGATACGTAGGTTTCCACACGCTGGCAGAGCCCAGCGAAAGAGGAATGCTGGCGGAGGGAGCTCTGAGGCTATTCAGACTGTAGCATCCAGTTTTTTATGTCGTTTTGTTTCTAGCAATAAACCACTTAAATTGTGGACAAATGATATTTGTTGAGCAGGAAAGGGGCGTCGACGGTTAAAGCGCCAGTTCTGGTTCGACAGTCACAAGGAGCTGGTTGGCAGGAATATTGTCCCAGCTCAGTGCAAATCTGGTTTTTCACGGGAGCCAGGAAGCGAGTTGAGGCATGGCGCCATCTAGTGGCAGCATGAGCACCGGCGCCGGGCAGGACAGTGTCCTTTGATGCGGGGAAAGGGCCTGAGAATTAGCGTCCTTTCTGGAGAAAGTGGGGGTGAGGCTGGACAGGACGGAGGACTTAGGGATGGGGCTGGGTGGGGGGACGCCTCAGCAGGGTGCAGGGACGCAGAGGGCACGTGGGATGGCCGCGCTGCTGGCAAAAACCTTGCCGGTATCGCTCGTGGGCAACTCCCTCCCCCACCTCGCTGCCAACCGCACACTGAGTTTTCTCCCTCCTTCGATTCTACCACCCTGTGCCGCCCCGTTATTCCGAACTGACCTCGCTTCACCTTCCGATTTCCCTTTCTGTGTGTTAGGACTTCGGGGCGGGGAAGACCTAGCCGAGTCATCACATCTGGTCGCCACCCGGAAACAGCAGCGCGGAGAGAGCACCGAGCACCGAGCACCCAGCACCCAGCACCCAGCTCCCAGCACCCAGGGACTGCAGACCGCAGCGCCGCGTCACGTGACCACCCCAGCCCACAGGTGAGGGCGCCGCAGGCAGGCCGCGCCTTGGCTCCGCGGCCGTCCTGGGAGGCCACTGTGGTCACTATCAGAGGGAGCTGGATCCTAAGTGTGTAGCAAGCACTCTCTGTGGAAAACCCGAGCAGGCAACGTTGATCCTGATGGATCTTTATTGTGTCAGCAAAGAGCTTTAGGATGGGAAGGCCCTTGGCGCTTCCTTCAAACAGAGGTGGCTACAGACTGATGACACTCAGGGCATTGTGGGGAAGCTGGATATAGGCTACAGAACAGCCATACAAGTGTAGGTTTTGCAGTGTGGAACTCTGCCTTATCGTTTGATTCTGGGTGAGTCCCTGTCTCTGTTTTCCTAGGATGAAGATCATTAGCGCTACCTCTCAAGGTTAGTGTGAGGAACAAGTGAAACACGATAAAGCTCTCATTTGGGAGATTGGGATTGGAGTTCACAGAGTCAGTGAAGAAGCCGGTTAGAGTAGCACGAAGGTGCCACTGTACATACTCCAAATATTGCACCAGAAAATATAGTCATCACGAAGGCCGTGGCCTTCGCTTACAATGCGGATCCACCCGGTGGCTTTTTGGTGTTGCTTCTTTCATTAATCACATGAGGGATTATTGTTGTGTGGCTTCGGTCTTTCAAATGTAGTGAGAACCTAAAGAGGCCTGAGAAGGCACGTCTAACATCGCTTTCCACAGGATTACCGCAATTCTCAAAATCGTTCCACATCACGAAGGTTTTTCCCAAGTGTTTATGGGCCACATGCCTAATTAGGTGCTTCTTGTTCTGGAGTCGGTGTAACAATTCCACCCTGCTTTCAGAGAAACATCTTCCTCCTCTTGTATAGTCATATTTTGAGTTTATATAATCTTAAATTAAATTTCATAGTTCTAGGCCTGGGAGTATGTTTCATAGGTAGAGCACTTGCCTAGCACATGAGAGGCCATGAGCTTTATTGCCAGCACAGTAATAAATAAATAAAAAGATTTAAACTAGTAAATCCATCTCATGATCTGAATACCAAAGGCAGCTGCTGCGCACCGATTCTTGGGTGGCGTGTAGCACCTGGAAGCAGGAGGGATGATTACAGTCAGCCGAAGCAGTAGTTGGTGTAGCTCATAGAAGGCCTGCAGAGTCCAGCTCCTCTACCATGATGCTCAGCACAGATTAAATAGTATCTGGCAAAAAATGTACACACATTTCAGAAAAAGAAAAACTTGAATAAATATTTTAATACTAAATCTATTGAAACGTCATGAAATTAATGCAAGTTGCCTTTGACCTGTACAAATACAAGAGGTGCTCAAAGTGGTGGCTATTGGCTTCCAGATATGTAGTGAATCACTGCTGGAGCAATGTTGGTCATGGAGAGTGCTGCACACACATTTTCAATTTCTTCTCTATTTCTTTTCTATGACATCTTCTAGGGTCCCCCTTATGAGGATAACACCTTCTGCTGAGAAACTATTATATTTTTCTTTTCCTGAAGTGTGTATACATTTCTTTAAAAAATCATTAATTTATTTGGTACAGGGTCTCGCTACAATCCTGGGGATCCAACCCAGGTCCTTGTGCTTGCCAGGCAGGCATTTAGACCACTGAGCTATCTCCCCAACCCCATATACACTTTTATTTGTTCGATTCTGTGTTTAATCTAATGTAGCATACAAAAATGTCCACTATAGCTAGTAACTACATATATTATTGTAATTAATGAAGTCAGAGTTGAAAAAGGATTGTTTGAAATATGAATTTCTTTCCTCATTTTCCAGATGAGAAGAAGATCCAAGTGTTTGTAAGTTTGGCTCTAATAGCATTGGTCAGAATTCGAGTCAGATAGATTTAGCTGAAAAGGTATCTGGAAGTTCACAGTGAACTTCCAGATATACAGTTATCCCAAATCCATTTCTTTTTGGTAAAAGCAGGTAGAATGAAGAAATGTTGATGAAGCCCAGAGCAGGGATGTGGGCGGGGTACACATAGGAACCCTTCCCAGAGGAGAAGGATGCATTGAATCATGTGTGCAAGATGAGTCTCCTAGCCCTGGTCACACCAGGCCAAGCACCTATGATGCCTGTGGGCAGTGACCAGAAAAGCTCACCCCTAAGGAGGAAGATTGCTGTTTAAGGTTGTTTCGGGGCATGGAGGAAGGGTGAGACACCTTAAGAAATCTTGGAATCTGGGTACTAGTTCATTCTTAGTAGGTTTAAAATGTTCCTCTCTGACATCCTGTGTTGTAACAGATGGAAATGATCTGTTGTTTTGATTGGACTGGGCAGAAAGTACATAGCCCAGAGGAGAGGGAGGAGGAGGGGGAGGCTGCAGTCAGGAAGGGTCTGCGGGGTGTGTGTGTGTGTGTGTGTGTGTGGGTCTTTTAAGAAGCTGCCAGCTCAAGAGATACAAAGCTCTGGTGAGGGCCTCGTGACTCTGGATTAACTCTTAGCTTGTTTTAAGGAAACTTTTAAGGATGGCATCCTAGAAAATGCACAGATCGTAGCTGTAGTTTACTGTTTTTGGTTGTGGGTGACAGTGCCTGGGATGGAATGCAGGGCCTCGAGCATGCTAAGCTTGCACTTTACCACTGAACTGTCCCACCCTGCCCCACTGTTCTGCTTTTTCCCTAAGGATTGAATGCTGGGCAAGTGTCTAGTGCTGAGCTTAACCCCTAGCCCTTTAAAATAGTCCTAAAATTTCAAGATAGAGCCTTGCTGGGTTACTTAGACTGGTCTCAAACTTTCCATCCTTCTGCCTCAGTTTCCCAAGTAGTTGGGATTACATGTGGGCACCACCACACCCAGCCCCATGTGATTTCCTTGGGACAGTTATCTGAACCCATTCTCTGCTGCTAATAACAAAGCACCATAGATCAAGCCAGTTATAAAGAGGAGAGGCTTAACAAGGTCAAAGGGCTGCGGCAGCTGATGGCCTTCTTGGAGCCTGAGGTGCGGCAGCATATCCCTGGGTGAGGACAGAAGGCATCAAAGAAATCCAGCCAAACTGGCTTCTCTAGCAGCCCCTTGAGATAACCCTTTAACCCATTCATTTCTTCATCACATCCGTGGAGAAACCCATGAGTGAAAGCAGAACCCTGACCACCCTTTAAAGGCCGAACCTGGATTTACCTCTTAATATATCATAGTGATTAAATGTCAACACGAGTTCTGGAAAGGGCACACCAACGCAAACCCTAGCAGCAGTGAAACTCATCCTGTCCCATAGGCATGTGCCATCGGTCCTTTGTTTGCAGAGACACTGACGTGCTTCCCTCTGTGCCCCAACCCCTGCTTCCTCCGGTGACTGCTGGGACCTCTGTTGATGCCTGAGCTCAGCTTTCTGCAGTAGCCAATGCTGGGACTGATTTCTAGCACAGAGGAACTTATATCCAAAGCTGTGGATAGCACCACTAGGCACCTTGAGCGAAAAGTGTGATGCTCAGATCTGACACTCCCTGAGACTCTGACCTAGAACTTCTGGGGTCAGCCTGGACTTTGTAACATGTACTGGGGGCTGACAGAGGAGCACCCCTAGCTCCCTCACACAGAGAAATGCTTTGCTGTTAGAGACAATGCGCAAGACTGAGCGAATCACAGTGTTTAGTTAGTGGTGGGAGCAAAGAAGAAGAAAGGGCTTGTGGGACAGGTGGTGAGCTGAGGGTGCGGCCTTTGTGCATCTCTAACCATATGCTGAAGCCTCTCTGGAGGATGGCTCAGCTCTTCTTCACTTTGCCCTGCTCGAGAGCCTTCCCTGATCTCCAGTTCTGGATCTGCCTATGAAGACAAGGCTGGCAGCTAGGCTGCAGGAGCCTGGGGAAGGCGTCCTGGCAGGCTGAATCCCTTCACTGCCCTGCAATCATGCAATAGAAGTTAAGCGTGAAAAACAAGGGAACGAGTTGTTCTTCACAGTGGAGAGCAGCTCCAAGGCCTGATTTCTTATGCCTTGGAACACAGACGCCTGCTGTTTTACAATGAGGCTGGGCCCTCTGTGAGCAGACTCCCAGCCTGCAGGACCTGTGCTTGTGTTAAGTCCCCGCTTCCCATTGGCAGGCATCTGTCAGCTCTGATGTAGAGAAATGCACCCAAGGAGCAGCAGGGTCCATTGAAACAGAAGGTCATGGGAAGAAAACTCCAGAAAGAAACAACAAAGCTTTTTTTTTTTTTTTTGGCCTCAATATGAGTTTCTAATAGTTTTCTTCTTGAGGGGAATGGCTTGTCATGCTGTGGTTTCTTTCTCTTACTGGAGCAGTTCTCAAAGTGTTGTCCCTAGGCCAGCTACACTCCAGTGTCACCTAGGCGTTTGTTAAAAGTAAACTCTGAGGTTGCCAGCCCCTGTGCACAGAATCCCAAAAAGTGGAGGATCAGGCATGGCGGTGTGGGCCTTCATCATTGCCCGGTGCTTCTGCTGCAGGCTCTACTATGTGAACCACTGGCTTCATGCTAAAGCCTGGGGCCCGCCTGGGGTTCATCAAAGAGAACTGCAGTTCTGCCAGGTAATGATGCAAAGAGAAGTTCTCACTAACTGGGCTGGAGGTGGAGCTGCAATTCGCTGGATATCTATTTTGGTCCCAACAGAGGCCTGTTGTCCAGAGATGAAGGAAAACTTGGAACTGGAGGTGAGGAGGTGAAGTGGATGTGAGGAGGTGAACTGGAGGTGAGGAGGTGAAGAGCTGTTTTCATGGACCTCTCCGCTCTCTTGTGTGCAAGGCAGCAGGACTGAAACAACCTGGGCAGAAATGACAGGAAAATGAGATCTGTGCCTGCCTGCGGGCCCACCCCAGTCGGGTGCATCTGCCAAAGAGGGCTTGGATTCTGTCAGGCAGGAATGTGGCCCAGGTTGCCCAAGACTCTTGACTTCAACACTGAAGTCTCCTGTTCCAGGAAAGCCCTCCACCCTAGGCTAACCAAGGCAGCTGGTCACTGTCACCTAGTTCAGTGACTGCTTTTTGAATTGTATGGCTGATTTTAAAAATTGCTGATGTTTAGGCCTGGCCCTGATCTGGGGCAGTCAGAGCATGGGACATTTAAGAGTTTCCCCGGTGCTTCTGAGGGAACCAGAGGTGAGGACCACTGCTAATTGAAGCCACTTGCCTGTCATTTCTTTCTTTCACTAAAAAACACAAACACAAAACATCCCAAAGCCAATGACTACAATGAAGTTGGTCCCCTACTAATCCCATATACAAAAATTAATGCAAGGCAGATCAATAACCTACATATAAGAGCTAACGCTATAGAACACTGAAAACACATGGCTGAACGTAAATGGTCTTGGATTTGGCAATAGGTTCTTAGATAGGAGCCCAGGTAGTTACAACACTGACAGCTTGGACTGCATCAAAAGCTAAAGATTTTGTGTGTTAAAGGACACTTTCAAGAAAGTGAGAAGACAGTAGTAACGAGAGAATAGATTTGCATGTTGCGTACATGGTAAAGGTCTAGTATCTAGAATGTACAAAGAAATCTTACAAACCAAAGGACAAACAAACCAATTAAAAACCAGAAAAAGGCTGGATGCAGTGTTACATGTGTGTAATCTCAGCTACTCAGGAGGCTAAAGCAGGAGGATCTCATGTTTGAGGCCAACTTGACCTTAGCAAGACCCTGTCTCAAAGAAGGGGGAAGGGCAAAGGCTATGAACAGGTGGTTCTTCAAAAAAGATATACAAATCACCAATAACATGCAAAATATGTTTGACATCACTAGTTTTTAGAAAAGTACAAATCACACCAAATGACTGCTGCTTCATACCAACTAAGATGGATATAGTAATCATAAGGAAAGATAAAAAATGTTGAGGGGAAGTGGACAGATTAGAACCATTGTACACTGCAGATGGGAATATAAAGTTGTGTAGCGACTGTGGAAGGTGATTTAGCAGTTCTTGAAAAGTTAAACATAGAGTCCCCTTGTTGAGGTGGTCCACACCTGTAATTCCAGTGTCTAGGAGGCTGAGGCAGGAGGATCACAAGTTTGAGCCCAGCCCGGGAAATTTAGAAACTTAGTTATCCTGCCTCAAAATTTTTTAGAAAAGCTAAAAATGGGTATGGAGGGAGCCAGTGTGAAATGCATATGTTCAATCCTGAGTATCACAAAGAAAGAACAAGTTACCTTATGATCTAGTGATTCCATTCCTAGCTATAGCTATATGCCTCCCCCCCATGAAGACACGTACTTTAACACAAATATTCTCAGCAGCACTGTTCACAACAGCTAAAAGGTGGAAGCAGCCTAAGTGCCCATGAGCAGGAGAATGGATAAGCGCATTGTGATCTATCCATACAACAAGATAGGGCTCAGCCATATGGCTGAGTGAAGTACTGATACTTGTTACAATATACATGAACCTTGAAAGACTGTGGAAATGAAGCACAATGCCACATATTATAAAATATCCAGAATAGGTAAAGCCACGGAGACAGCAAATGGATCAATGATTGCTATAGGCTCAGGGAAGGCTAGAGTAGGGAAGCGACTACTTACTTGGTAGAGGGTTTTCTTTCAGGGTGATGGAGAAAGTTGTGGGAGATGGTGGCTGCACAACATTGGTACACTGGTTAATTGTGGGTTAAACATGGATTTTACCTCAGTTTTAAAAAAACCAGCCATTCACATGTGTCTACAAAACACATTTGAGACCCAGCTCTTTAGCGGTTGAGCCCTCCACAATGGGCCTTGGCCTTCCGCAGCCTTACCACCTCTTGCTCTCCTACCGTTTCAATTATCATTAGTAATGCTACTCCTAACCCTGTGCAGCTCATTGCAATCCTCGTGTGTCCAGGTTTCTCCCTCTGCCTCTAGGTGGTGGGCTTCGGGAGGGCTCTGCCAGCACTTCCTGCCCACTGTCCCCTCCCAACCCCTGTGGACCTTTATGCCTTTGACTGGAAGTGAGACCCCTGGACCAGAAGCATTGGTGTCTCTGGATGTGAGGAAGAAAAGCGGAACCTGGAGCTCCTAGTCTAGACCCACTGCATCAAATTTTGTATTTGAACAACATCTCACATGGTTCTAGTTCATTACCTTTTGAGAGGCTCTGATTTACACTACTGGGCCCCGAGTCAGGCTGCTGATCAGGTTCACTGAGAAGTTGCATTTATTTATATTTTTTTAAAAAATGTATTTAGTATAAGGTCTACATAGGGACCAGGGAGATGGCTCAGTGGAGTATAAGGTCTACAGGGTCTCACTACACAGATCAGACTCGTAGTGATCCACCTGTTTTCATCCTCCCAAGCTCTGGGGTTACAGCTGCGTGCCACTACGCCCAGTTTGCTACATATATTTATAATTAGGGAATAGACATAATGGGTACAGTGAAAGACTGTATGTGTACAAGAAGAACAAAAGAATAAGTCTCCCTTCCACCTCAGGTCCTCAGATTTTCCAGTCTGGGTTACATTTCCTGGGTATTCTTTCCTGTTCCACGCAAATGCTAGCATATCTGTACATATGTACTTCCCTCCCTTGTTTTGATTTTTTTATTTTTATTTTTTAATTTTTTTCCCATAAATTTATTGAGAAACAAATAGCAATGAGACAGTTTCAAAACAAACTGGTAGGACAGTTTCAATAATTAACACATTGTATACATTCTTCCTAGTGGTTAATTGCTGGACAAGATGCGGACATGATATCCTACTTACATACACTATTAGAACAAATCCCTCTATCCATTAAGAGAATGTAACTGTATATCAATTCTAGCCATTTGAATACACAGATACAAAATGGACATTCATCTGCATCCCCTTTTTGTTGTTAAGTTCCGTTATTTGCATATTATAGGTGTGTTAACTCAGCAAAATATTCTAAAAGAGTCCAGTAGCCCATAATAGTATTGGGCCTTGTTTTGATTTTTAACATATGCTGTACACAT